AAAACGAAAAGCTTGCTGAATGGATGCAGAAGTACGGTGCCACCATCACTCACCTTACGCCTGCTATGGGTCAAATTCTTGTCGGTGGTGCCTCTGCTCAATTCCCTGCTCTTCACCACGCATTCTTTGTGGGTGATATTCTGATCAAGCGAGACTGCCGCTCACTCCAGGGACTTGCCCCTAATGTCAGCATTGTGAACATGTACGGAACAACTGAGACTCAGCGCGCCGTCAGCTACTTTGAAATCCCTAGCTACGCCAGCAATGAGGGCTACTTGAACAATATGAAGGATGTGATTATGGCTGGTCGCGGAATGTTGGATGTGCAGATGCTGGTTGTCAACCGCTATGACCCCACTCGTCTTTGTGCTATTGGAGAAGTCGGCGAGATCTACGTTCGTGCAGCGGGTCTTGCAGAGGGCTACCTTGGTTCCCCGGAACTGAGTGCGAAGAAGTTCCTTACCAACTGGTTTGTTAAGCCTGAAGTCTGGGCGGAAAAAGATCAAGCCGAATCTAAGAACGAGCCCTGGCGTGAATTCTACGTTGGTCCTCGTGATCGCCTTTATCGCAGTGGTGATCTCGGCCGTTACACGCCATCCGGAGATGTTGAATGCTCTGGCCGCGCCGACGACCAAGTGAAGATCCGTGGTTTCCGTATCGAGCTTGGAGAGATCGACACCCATCTTTCTCAGCACCCTCTGGTCCGTGAGAACGTGACCCTGGTGCGAAGAGATAAAGACGAGGAACCCACATTGGTCAGCTACTTTGTGCCCGATATGAACAAGTGGGCTTCATGGTTGGAGAGTAAGGGCCTTAATGACGATGACTCCGAATCTGAGGGCATGGTTGGTCTGTTGCGCCGCTTCCGTCCCCTCCGTGATGATGCCCGTGAGCATCTCCGGAGTAAGCTTCCTACATACGCAGTGCCGACCGTTATCATCCCCCTTAAGCGCATGCCTCTTAACCCGAACGGCAAGGTCGACAAGCCCGCACTTCCATTCCCAGACACTGCAGAACTGAGCGCCGCTGCACCCCGCCGCCGCTCATCTGCGGTGCAGGCCCTCTCTGAAACCGAGCAGACTCTAGCTCAAGTCTGGGCCAAGCTCATTCCCAATGTGACATCTCGAATGATTGGACCCGATGATTCCTTCTTTGATCTCGGTGGCCACAGTATCCTCGCACAGCAAATGTTCTTTGAGCTTCGTCGCAAGTGGCGTGTTATTGACATCAGTATGAACGCTATCTTCCGCAGCCCGACCCTCAAGGGCTTTGCTAGCGAGATTGACCGCCTGCTAGCCATGGAATCATTTGCAACCAGCGATGACAAGACACTAGCTGTGCAAGCTGCTAATGAGCCGGATGACGAGTACTCGAAGGATGCCGTCAAGCTGGTGGATGAACTGCCCAAGTCATTCCCTCAGCGTACCGAGGCTATGCTCACTAGTGAACCTACAGTGTTCCTTACTGGAGCCACTGGTTTCCTAGGCGCGCACATCCTCCGAGATCTCCTTACCCGTAAATCTCCCTCCACTAAGGTGGTAGCTCTGGTTCGGGCAAAGACCGAGGAGCAGGCACTTGAGCGACTTCGCTCCACTTGTCGCGCATATGGTTTCTGGGATGAAGCATGGACCCAGAAGCTGCAGGCCCTGTGTGGTGATCTTGGAAACCCGCAGTTTGGTCTTTCCCAGTCAGCGTGGGACGACCTCACCAACCGCGTCGATGCTGTGATTCACAACGGAGCTCTTGTCCACTGGGTCTACCCCTATGCGACACTGAGACCGGCTAATGTCATGGGTACCATCGATGCCCTCAAGCTTTGCGCCAGCGGAAAGGCCAAGCAGTTTGCCTTCGTCAGTTCGACCAGTGCTCTGGATAAGGATCACTTCGTCCAAGAATCCGAACGTATCATCGCCGCTGGTGGAAATGGTATCAGTGAAGACGACGATATGGAGGGCAGCAGAGTTGGCCTTGGAACCGGTTACGGTCAAAGCAAATGGGCCGGAGAATACCTTGTCAAAGAGGCCGGCCGCAGAGGCCTGAGGGGAACCATTGTTCGCTCCGGATATGTTCTTGGTGATTCGGTCACCGGAACTACCAACACTGATGATTTCCTCATCCGTATGCTCAAGGGCTGCATTCAAATTGGCCTTCGCCCGAATATCTTCAACACCGTGAACATGGTGCCCGTCGATCATGTGGCTCGTATTGTCATTGCCACTGCCTTCCACCCACCTTCCACGGGCGTTAACGTTGCCCATGTTACTGGACACCCTCGTTTGCGCTTTAACCAGTTCCTTGGTGCGCTAGAGCTCTACGGATACAATGTACCTCAGGTTGACTACGTGCCTTGGTCCACTTCCCTGGAACAGTATGTCAACGATGGCGAACATAATGACAAGGAGTCTCAGCATGCTTTGTAAGTTCCACCCTTTTTTGGTCTCGGTCCCATGACGGATACGTACTAACCCTCTTCAGAATGCCCCTTTATCACTTTGTTACCTCGGATCTTCCTTCTAACACCAAGGCTCCGGAATTGGATGATGTGAACGCAGCGACGGCTCTGCGTGCCGATGCAACCTGGTCGGGTGTTGACGCATCAGCCGGTGCTGGCGTGACCGAGGAATTAGTCGGCTTGTACGCCTCGTATCTGGTTCAAACCGGTTTCCTCCCCGCACCAACCGTCGCTGGAGCCCGCCCTCTCCCTGCTGCGCAGATCAGTGAGGAACAGAAGAAGACTCTCTTGAGTGTCGGTGGCCGCGGTGGTACATCTTAAATTTATGAAAAAAGATTCATGTACTTATTCTGATTTTTAAAAAGCATTCATCTTCCCGATCCCCCTGCAAAATATAGATTACATGGAGCCATTAAAAACGTGGCTTGTGGTGTATACAACCCTGACAGTTCGGAGTTGCTCGACTCTATCGAAAGAGCCCGATTCGTCGATCTGCCCGTTCCATACTACTCGGGACTCGCCGCTATCCCTCCCCGCTCTTTATTTACTCCTGTCACTGGGGAATTTATATAGCTTAAAAAATATCCTCTTGTGTGCTCTTTTCTGTATCTCTCTCCATTATTAGTATTCCATCATGCCTGAAGGTAAGTGTGTGAGCCGTGTTTATGCGCGTTCTTGGCACTTCAACTTCCCCATCAATTTTTACCCGCTTTCTCTCTTATCTCCCATTCCACCTGATCAAAACTGTTGGAGATCCGTGAGACGTACCGATTGTCGGGATCAATTGTCTCCCTGATCATCTGTGTAATCCTCCGGTCTCACTCAGACGGCTTTCCCTTCACCAATCCCTGTCATAATCCACTTCTTCCCTTTTTTTCCATCCATGGGTGCTGCGAGATTCACCGGGCGAACTGGTCTCATTGCGCGTGCAGTGGGGGATTCCAGGTACTCACCTGGTTCCCTGCTCACCACTCAGTCTCGAGTGACGCGCAGCATTACCGCTCTCTCGGCGGTGTCTCCCAACAAGCCCTTCTCAACCTCCATACTGCTCTCCTGCGCCAGCCACCAAAGCACCAGCGCAGCATCACCCTCGAGTGTGGACACAGATCCCAAGTCCAAGATCCCGACTGACATCGCTGGTGCGGATCCCACAGATCGATATGCAGCAGGCCTACGCCTGAACAAGGAATGGGCTGCACAGACAGCCCGCAAACACCCCGACCTGTTCCCTACCCTCGCCTCAGGCCAAACGCCGCAGATTCTGTGGATTGGGTGCTCCGACTCTCGCTGCCCGGAAACCACCTTCCTGGGCCTCGAGCCCGGCGACGTCTTCGTACACCGCAACATCGCCAACGTCCTCCACCCAGGCGACCTCAGCTCCACCGCCGTTATCGAATATGCCGTGCAATACCTGCGCGTCAACCACGTCGTGGTGTGCGGGCACACATCCTGCGGTGGTGTCGCGGCCGCAATGGGCAATAAGAATCTGGGTATTTTGGACCCCTGGCTGTTCCCTCTTCGTCAGTTGCGTGAGCGTAACCTCAAACTTCTGCAATCAATGCCCAGTGATGAGGCGGCGTCGAAATTGGCTGAGTTGAATGTTCGTGAGGGATTGAACATTGTCAAGCAGAAGAGTGTTGTGTTGAATGCCATCCGCGAGCGGGGACTTGAGGTTCATGGCTTGATTTATGATGTTGGATCGGGTGTGCTTAGTGAATTGGACACTCAGGATTCGGAGGAAGTTATCAGGGCTCGTCTGACGGCTTTCCACACGGAATGAGTTAGCGGGGTTTTCTCGGAGTTGGAGGTTTTTTCGGCCGAAGGCCAACTGATTGCGAATGTAGTATACAACATAAGCGATACATAGAACATCTCTAGATAGCGGTGTATATTTGATGAATTGATGATGAACATAAACTTAAACTTACAAAAGATTTCCTTTTTATTTTTTTTTTCCGGCCCTGGGGAAAATGTCGGGGCTATGCATACCCCTCATATCGTATGGCATGATGTGTGGATCAACGGGCAGCAGATCGTGCAATGCAGACCAATCACTCTGAAACATCTTTATATGGTGTTCGGGTCCAATCAGAGACTTTTAAGGCTGTAGGGCTCTATAGAAAATACGAAGTATATCAAGTATATTCTTTACACACCTTGTCTTGATGGCAAATTGTAAGGTATCTATTGTATAGCAACTCCATACGAAAGGTACACAAGCACAACAACGCTTATTGTACATTCGCATCTACCTAGGTACCTATGTATCAAAGAGATGGTGTTAGTAAATCTACGATTCTTCCACTATTTAACTATGGTTCACCTGTAGCCATTATCAAAACAATAGCTATAAGCACAATTACTATGTATCCATTAGAAGGTGTAATAGTAACATAAGAAGTGGCTCATCCATACGTGGACAAACATGTAATGGTAATCCCTCCTTCCAATCTTGGTTCCTTCTCTGAGTACTTAAGTTCCCCTACCTTCTCGGATTTAAATTCTCTTTTCCCTCTTTGCCTCTTCCAACTCTTGCCTAACATTCATCATGACGATCGATATCTCAGATGGAGGTGGTGAGTCTATGGCCATTCGGACATTTGACTACTATTCACCTAACCACGCTAATAATCAAAGCCATCGATGATAGCACCACAGAACTCAAGACCAAGGATATCCAGTATGAGCCTGTAGGCACCCTATGTGATTTCCGCACCCTCTACCAAACAAATCCCAATGGATTTGGTGAACGGGCATGGAGCAGAGAAGTACCCACCGACTTGCCCGATCCCGTCGAGGATGCAGAGTCAGCACAATACGCACTGATCGTGAGAAAAAGAAAGTGCTATGATGGACGCAGGAGCTTGTCGATCTATTCCATCTTAGTACAAAGCGAGCGTCTCAAGGAATTCTTGGAAAGGGCACTGAAGGATTATCCTGGTGTCACAGCGACCTTGCAGCGCCTCGAGATCAAATCCCCTTTCCGGCCTTTTGTTCATCGATGGGAAGCAATCACCAAACTGCGAGATGAGGAGCAGGATCCAACAACCAAGGCCCATGTGGATATGTTCTACCGCATCATGGACGAGGAGCTCAGGGATGTCATTGACCGCAAGAACGACCTCGTTGCCAAAGGTGTCATCACTCACGAGTTGGCTTGGACGATCCTGGAGCCGCAGGACGTGGTCCTTTCCGCAGAGGATGGAGTACGTGCATATTTATTCACGCAGGCATCCTCGGAAGGTGAACCATCGCAGAATGATACATTCGAAGTTGAATACGTCGAGTTCGACGGAAGCAAGTTCGGATACAATTACACGTGGCTCACGATACCCAGCTTTCCGGGCACTGTACCAATTACCTCATTGCCTATCTTTCCACTCAAATACCACCCAGAGAAGGATACTATCCAAGAGTCGTTGACTAAACGGGGCAAGGAGTGGGAAGCTTACAAGGGGTACCATTTCAAATCCTATGAAGGGGCTTCGACCAGCAAAAACTCCAAAGATCGGGATAGTAATTTGAAGAACACCAAATACCGTGTCAACAGTCGCGTCATCATCGACACCGAGGCATACAACCGTTTTGGGTCGACGGGGTCAGTTCACGTTTACAGGGAGATTGAAAGAGAACTAGACGATGCGCAGCGCCTGATTGCAACCCCAATGCTCTATGGATACTCTCTGAATGACAAGGAATGGTGTTCGTTCCATGTGGGCCATTTGAAAGACATTGAGTGGAATGAGCAGGCCTTTGGTTCCCTAGTCCTGCCGCGGGAGCAGCAGGGGCTCAAGGAAGTGATCTTGGCTGTTGCAAAGGCTCAATCCAAGAATGTGGATGGATTTGACGATGTCGTTCGAGGCAAAGGCCAAGGGTTCATTATGCAGCTTAGCGGTCCTCCGGGGGTCGGAAAGACCCTTACGGCGGAAAGCGTTGCTGAGGTCATGAGGGTTCCTCTATATGTCATGAGTGCTGGCGACCTTGGAGTTGACGCTAGAGGGTTCGAAACAAAATTGAAAGGCATCCTGCAACTGATTCCCAAGTGGGGAGCTATGCTGTTGCTTGATGAGGCCGATGTCTTCATGGAAGCCCGTGATTCAACCAATCTTGCACGCAACGAACTTGTCTCAATCTTCTTGAGAATGCTTGAATACTACGAGGTAAGCTCCAATCGTGAGGTCATCAAGGCCAGAAAAAAAGAGGGAAAGTATGCAAAAAGGATGTGTTGCTGATATTCTATCTTTCTCTTCCAGGGTATTCTCTTCTTGACCACCAACCGCACACAGAATATCGATCCTGCCTTCGAGTCTCGGATCCATCTTTCCCTCGCCTACAAGGAGCTCGATACGGAATCCAGGCGCCAAGTTTGGGCCCAGTTCCTGAGCCGCTCAATGAACATTGAGTCCTTCACGGATGAGCAACTTGACCAGGTGGCCGAGTTGCAATTGAACGGTCGCCAGATCAAGAATGTGATCAAGACAGCCGGTCTCTTGGCTTGGTCGAAGGAACGCGAGCTTCGATATGAAGATCTGATGACGGTGCTTGCTCTGAGAGATTTGCAAAAGTAATGCCAGGTGAGACAAGGGGAAATACTCCGTATTCCATATTGATCATGAGATAGTAGCTACATAGCTGGTAACACCCTATGGACTTAATATCAGAATTCCAATAAAAAAGTCCCCAATTTTATGGCTCAATTTTGTGTCCGGAATTTTCTTCCCATATATTGACACGCAAGTGCCGAGGTTTGTGTTGGGTGTGTTGGATCCTGCACTCCGTTGCCCGCCGTTTGCCGCCAACGGGTCCGAGTACGAGCAACTAGGCTGAACAGGCAACACCCAATAACACATCAGCCAAGACTTTCATTTCGCATTCCACCGAGTCATGTTTGTTGATACAGCCTTGGCTCTCACACTAATAAGGCCTCCCGTCTGCCAATAATACTTCCGGCAGGAACCGGGCCCGTCCCTCCCCCCCTGAACCATATAGGGCTATACGGGGCTCTTCGTTCTCGTTCCCGGATACGCAGATGCCGGCCCACTCCGTTCCATACGACATGGATTTATGTTGAACGTGCATGTTGAAGATGCTATGGCTTCTTAAGGCTGAACAATTGATATTTCCCCGGAATGCCGATCATCGGGGGGAAAATATACACAGCATCACCAAACACACTAAAACGTCAAAACACCACCATTATCTCCAGAGTTGAGCAAAGGCCCCCTGACTCAGGTCCACCGTGTGTTGGCTAGTGCACCCGCACGATCCGACGCTTTCACAATTATAATCCAATCGAGGTGGCGCCCCCATGGCACAACTCCGATAGTATGCTGTTGTGGAGCACGCGAGCAGTCAATCTCTTCTCCCTAATTTTCTTACTTTTCTAATTTCTCTTTTTCTCCCCTGCCCCTTATATCGTGCAGTATAAACGGATTGGAAAACAGTCCGTGTCGAAGGATTTCCTCATGTTGGCCGCTTTTTGAGTTGGGCCATCATGATTGTCACTCGTTTTCATCATCCGCAGCGCTTGATCTTATCTATTTTGGTGCTGTCTGGTCTCTGCTCCAAGTTGCTTCACATATACCAACATCGATCTCTTCCTTTATACCTTTTGGCTCTCTATTTTCCTACATTTTTTATTCAGGAGATCCTCCTATTCGTTACAGTATGGATTCTCTTATATACAACCTCCGGTCGGTGGTCAGTAGCCGCCGTTATCGGCTCGACGATTGTCGCGTTGGTTCACCTTATCCTAAACGCACCGGCCAACGATATTGACTTTTACCCTCAGATGTATTGATTTATTAGCAACGTCGTCGCAAGTCAGTTTCTATTCTCAGACCGGCAGCGAAATTCGATGGGATGCAGCCAGGTCCGTGGGCGCCAGTCGGCAGGGAATGAACTTGATATTGAGCGGACTGGTCCCTATGGCTACCGCTACAACGGTGATTGCAGTGGCTTCCTGGCTTATGGCTCAAGGGATCTGGAATCTCATGACCGGCTGGCTATGTTCGCTCTCCAATCTCGGAGACGCCAGGACTTTCGCCGTGTTACCGGGGCCCTCCGATCTGAGAAATCTAGCGTCGAACAAATCTCGTCTTTGGACGCTTGTGGGTACCGGCATCACAATCGGACTCTGGCTGATCCGGCCATCAGTCCCATACAATCATATGACGGGAGCTCTGCCATTCACCATGCTTGGGGAACACCCCAGCGCTCGTCGTATGACCATCAAAACATTCCCGCTACCTGAATTGCTGGCGGAGGGATATCGGGAGCCTGCAAATGGGCACTATAAGGGGTGGGCACCGACATTGGATGACTCGGGTAACACTGCCTACGGAAATAATAAGCCCGCCTGGGCGCGAGGCCCTCTTCCTGCTGCGTTTGAGAGATGGATTGTGAATCCCGATTCAAACACGACCGAAATTATCTTGGAGACTTCGAACTCGACCGTTCAAGATGTGTCCAAGAGAGGCACAAAAGAATCACATTCTAAAAGCCAGAACAAGACAGCTGAACCGCGACACTACTTCTATAACCCCGTTCAGGATCCCATGAGGATAAGCAACCTTGACCTGGAACCCCTTGGTCCTCTGCAGGAGGCCCTGAAGGACCATGCCATCCCGATCAACCACATTGTCTTTGTGTTCTTGGAAAGCGCTAGAAAGGACCTGTTTCCCCTCAAAAACGATTCTCGCTTGTACAACCAAATCCGTGAAGCAAATGATATATACGATGAGGAGGATGAAGCCGATCTACACGACAAGCTGTCTCAGCTAACCCCCGTGGCAGAGATGCTTACAGGGGAACAATCTGGCTTTGGTAACTCGATTAACTCAACGGATGCCGGACTAGGTGGTCTCAGCTTCGACGGGATATTGTCGGGGAGCTCTCTCTCTGCGAAATCGCGTCTTGTCAACTACTGTGGTCTTGGACCGCTTCCGGTGGATTTTATGCATGAAAATGATATTATTCCGTACCAGCCGTGTCTGATGCATATCATGGATCTATTCAACCAGCGCAAGAACTCTTCTGCCCCTGCAAATTCTTCTGGCTCTGGTAATTCCACCGACTCTGGGAATTCCACCAACAGTCACCTAGAACGGGAATGGCAAACCATCTATGCGCAGTCTGTCACTGGGGACTTCCAGGGACAGACTCGGCTTATGGATCTACTCGGTTTCAATCAGACGTTGTACTCGGAAGACATCGATGTGGAGGACGCGAAATATTTCCACGAGGAAATGGAAAAAGTCAACTATTTCGGGTATGTTGTCGAGCAGAACGCCCTGCAACTGTTCCTCGTGAGTAAATACTAACTTGCCACAGTTATGCCGAAACTGAGGCCCGCCCCTACATCAAAGACATGATTGACGAAACGCTTCGCCAAAACAAGAGACTCTTCCTTTCACATTTCACCAGCACCACTCACCATCCTTGGGGTACACCCCAAGGCTGGCACCGAGAAAAATATTTCGGTAGTGTCCACAGATCACAGCACGAACTCCTGGACGACTTCCTCAACGCCAACCGCTTCGTCGACACATGGCTCGGCGACCTAATGGACATGCTCGGAGAAGCTGGCATCGCCAACGAGACCTTGACAGTTTTCGTGGGAGACCAGTACGTACAATTTCCCACAAGTAACCAACAAACCTGACATCTAACCCACGAAACAGCGGCCAAGCATTTAAAGAAGACTGCCCCGTCACAGGAACCTACCACAACCCACACATCACCAACTTCCGCGTGCCCCTAGTATTCCACCACCCCTTATTACCCCGCATGCACCTTAATGTCAACGGCAGCACCGTATCCATCCTCCCGACAATCCTCGATCTCCTCGTAAACACCAACTCCCTCAACGCAGACGACACCGAGATTGCCCTGGATCTAATGAACGAATACGAGGGCCAGTCCCTCATCCGACCGTACCGCACCTCGCACAACGGCCGCGAAGCCTGGAACATGGGCGTTATTAATGCCGGTGGCTCGATGCTGAGCGTTGGCTCCGCTGCTGTGCCCTGGCGTCTCAACCTACCATTGAACAATGACTTCGAGTACCGGTTCACGGACTTGAGTACTGACCCGTACGAGCTTGAGCCTGTCACTGGCTGGACTATGTCGGCGCTTGCTGCGGAGGTTCATTCCAAGCATGGGCCTGAGGCGTTTGATTGGGTTCAGAAGGCTGAGAAGGTTGGGCTTTGGTGGGTTGCCGAGCGGAAGAAACTTTGGAATTACAGTGACCCTGATGAGTGAAGGGCTGTTTGCGATAGTAGACGGCTTGTGTTTTGTTTTCTCTTTTGGTGCTTGGAGCGATTTTCATAGCATGCATTCTGTGGTATGTGTTTTTTTTTTTTGGTTTGGGACCTAGGGTTAGTTTGGTTACCTTCCAGCTCTGTATGATATACTGGTTGGGTAGACCTGTTGTATATAAAAATATATAATTTGTGCTGTTCTTCTATTAATATCGATTCTAGGACAGCTTTAAGCATGGAATAATCATACATCAGATACAGTCACTGTTGTTAACAGCATCTATAGAAATCAGTATGGCAGTATCCAAGGCGGTAAGCCCCTGTCCTATTATGGAAGTGCCAAGTATGCAGACAATCATACCAAAGCTTCGGAGATGAATGCTTATTTAGCTAAAAATTGGAGAGCGCTAAACGATGGGGTCTAGGACTAAGAACTTTATACTTCATTTCCAATGTTATTGCCGTACAAAAGGTGACATTATTACCGATAGCCGGGAAGTGATGACGAGGCCTCATGGTTTTTGCGGTCCACTTGGAGATCTTCATGGAGCCTAACGGGAAAGAAAATACCACAAATTCTACTCCGGACGTTTCACCCCCTTCGCTCCGTCGAAGGATCCAATTATAACGACCTTTGCTTGGCCCTTCCGCCCCTGCCATTCGCCCACAGGACTTGGCGCCTCCTTCGATCCGCACATATCTTGCCTTGTCTAGACCCCCGACGATGGTCCCCTTTCCTCTTTTCTTCTTCAATGACTTCCCTATACCACGCTCTTTAAAGGATGCTATTTTTGAGCTTTCCATTGCTGTTATGGCTGTGCCAGACCGCGCTGGCGCAATATTCCAGCGATGATCTCATGTCATTCGTTACGGTCCGTGTCCCACATCCCACAAATTGTTTAATCCCGCTAACACCGTGTTCTCCAGCTCCCCGATATTCGGGCAGTGAAATTCGATGTCCACTACGAAAACCGCGAGCGCATTAGCCCCGGTTACTGGTTCGTCGCTCCCTACCTACACATTGGCCCCGACCCACCGTCGACCTTGTACGAGCAATATCAGATCGGCCCGCATATCTACGATGGTGAAGGGGTGCGTTTACACCAAACCCCCGCGATACGGACCCTGGCAGCTGACCATATTTCGTTATAATAGCGCCTTATTTGGACTGGCTCGCAACAGTTCGACAACCGGAACGTCTTTGATTTCAAAGTCGTCAACAGTCTGGGCCCTGACCCATACCTTTCGATGATCTTGCAAAACTCGTGGGATTCGAAAATAGACTCTGGGTATGGGTTGATCTTGACCAATGATTATCAAGTCCAACGAAAGCTTCCTTTGCGGAGGGACCTCGGTGCTTTTGATATCCATGAGTTCAACATCCAGGACGACGGTAAGACTGCGCTGGTCACGATCTACCTTTCGCATGAGATTACCCTAGAAGAATTTGGTCGCCCGGAAGAGTCTACTTGGCTTGAGACCGGCGGGTATGCTGAGATCGATCTGAACACCGCCGAGATAGTCCAGTGGTGGGACTCTTTTAATCGCATTCCTCTACCCGAGACCGTCCATTACACCCCATATTCTCCAGTAGAGGGACACCCTGGCTGGGATTATGTGCATATTAACTCAGTTGACAAGAATGAGATTGGGGACTTCTTGATTTCATCACGGTTTACGAACACCATCTACCTCATCTCCTGTATAGATGGAAACATCATGTGGCGATTGGGTGGACAACATAGTGATTTCGAGCAAGATTTCACTTTTTCAAAGCAGCATGACGCAAAATTCATTGAGTCTAATGGGACACACCATATAATCTCATTTTTGAACAACGCCTCGGACGAGGAATTCAACGAGGAAAATATCTCATCATCCCTATTTGTCGAGTTGGATACCGGCGCGAGACCCATGACCGCAAAAGCCATCCGGCGCTACAACCGCCCCGATCACCAGCTTTCGAGACTCCGCGGCAATACCCAGCTACTTCCGAATGACAATGTGTTCACCTGCTGGAGCAAAGAGGGCTATATTTCCGAACATGCCGCCGATGGAGAGCTATTGATGACCGCCAACTTCACCTCCTCACGCTATTCATCCTACCGCGGGTACAAATTCGAATTCATCGGTCGCCCCACAGCGCCACCAGACATGGTAGCGTCAGTCTACGGCACCGATGAAACCAACATGGTGACCACGTTCTGGATCAGCTGGAACGGCGCGACGGATGTCGCAGAGTGGCATTTCTACGCGCAAGCCTCTGAATTCCACGACCCTGTCTTTATCGGCAAGACCCCGCGATCCGATTTCGAAACCATGTATATTGCCCGCGGATATCTGGACTGGGTATCTGCCGAGGCAGTAGATGTCAATGGTACCGTCTTAGGCAAGTCCGAAATGCACCGAAGCAAATCCCCCGACTGGAAGTCTGTCGGATACAGAGGGAAGTCAACCACACCCATCCCGGTTGACCCATCGATCATCTACCAAGCGAGCGATAGCGCAGCAGGAGACAGTGTAGTTAATGAGTCTAACCGCACATCATCGGATGCAATCGATACCCAGACACAGAAGACCACCCAAATCCTCAAGCATACTTACGATGCTATCCGCAGCATTAGCGGTATTTTCTCTTTTGTTTTGCTTCTTTGTCTGTTTGTCAGCGTTATGGTATGCTATATGGTCATCCGTGGCTGGCGCGTCCGGGTCTACCAGCGTCTTCCTTCGGAAGATGGGTTACCAGGCGAGCGGGTGCGTCTTGCATCGCCACATGAGGATTGAATTTCTTTGGTTTGGTCAAAAGCATTGAACGCTGTTTGCATTATTTGCCGGAGTTTTTGTACATTATTTTTTTCGGGTTGGTGGACTGTAGTCCACCTAGTCCAACTAGTCCAACATATATATAGAGAGTACTAGTTTCGTTGACTACCCGGGCACATCGGAGTCTTTTTGGGCTTTCGCGATATACCACAATTCTTTCACACTAGACCTCAACTGTGACTCAGCTCTGACATTTGGAAAGGCTTTGCTTTGGGTGGGATCGGTGGATAGTACAAAGTAATACCCTAATTATGCCCAACCGCCGCCAAACTCCGAGTATGAGTGCTGTTTTGATTCGCCAGGTCTTTACATGCCCAGGTGCACTATCACACGCTAGTGTCGTGTATCATTCAAACCTTCTTCCCTTGCCTTTTAATTTATTCCTGTCATCTTCTTGCTTCTAATTGTTCTAATATTTTTCATTGTCCCCTTTCACTTTGCCATGACCGACAGTGACTTCCATCATATGGCAACGTAATATTCTTCCAAGCCACTCCTTATGTCAGCATAAAAAAACTGATTCATCCGTGGATGTTTCTTTCATGTTCGAGAATCCAGACCGGAAGTGGATCCCACTGCTTACGATGAGATTTAAGCCTTGAAAGCATCGGTCATGCGACCCTACAAGGTTTAAACGTCGGGAAGGGATTACATATGACCACGATAGCGGTGTACTCGAATTTGATGCAATTCTTTCGTGATGCAGGCAGCTCTAAGATCGGTCACCGAAGCTGTTCTCGAGGTGATACAGACCCAAGAAAAAAGCAGGGAATACCCCTCATGACAATACCCCCCATGAGGGGCATTCTGTGAGGGGTATTCCAAGTGACCAATGTCTCTTCTCTTTTGCTCGTCGATTCCAGAGTATCCGTCCGGAGCCCGGAAGCCGAATGTCGATCAAAAACACTAATCTAGATCTTATAATGCCTTAATTTGAAGGTTATCTCACAACATATCTTTAAAATATCTCAATTGAGACCTATTTTCGCCAATTGGAGAGGCCGTAGTAAAGCGGTGCTACCCCATGTTCCGGCCCACAATTTACCTGAGAATAACTGGAAATGCCCGCATGGGATTCCCGGTACTGACAAATTTCGGGAATAAAGTGGCAACATTCCCGAGAAAATTATTCCCGAAGATTCTTTTCCGTTATCTATCATTCTAGTACTCCGTACTGGTTCAAATAATTCTTTTACTTTTTTTTGGTCCCTTGTTTCTTTAAAGCTCAACCTTGCTCAACCTTGCTCAACCTTGGAACTCATCTGTTTGCTGTGTTCAACCAAATTTACAAATTTATACCCACCATGCCCTCAACAAGCTTATGCCAAGATGAGGCGTGCCCTCCATACAGCCTTATGGATGATTACAGCGAGGGAGCTCACCCACAAATTCTTGAAGCTCTTTTGCGAACAAACTCCTTACAGCAAGTCGCTTATGGAAATGATGAATACAGCATTGCTGCCCGGCAATTGATCCGAAACAAGATCGGTTGCACCGAGGACGAGGCGGGTATCTTCTTTGTTCCCAGCGGAACCTCCGCAAACCTCATTTCAATCGCCAGCTGCCTAAGGCCTTACGAGGCTGTTATTACTCTGGAGTCGGGTCACATCGCCTCTAAAGAGGCAGGTGCGATCGAGGCAACCGGCCACAAACTTATCCTCGTGCCTGCAGTCGATGGCAAAATGACGCCCATCAATCTTCAAAAGGCGCTTCAGCAAAATCAATTCTACCCTCACATGGCCAAACCCCGGCTACTTTATATCTCTAATGCCTCGGAGACTGGTACTGTCTACACGAAACGAGAGTTGAGCAGCCTCTCCGCCATTTGCAAACAATCAAACCTCCTGCTTTTTATGGACGGAGCGCGAATCGGCGCAGCCATTTGCTCAAAGAAGAACGATCTCACTCTACGGGAGATCTTCGACATGACTGATATCTTCTGGATCGGTGGCACCAAAGCCGGTGCTCTGATGGGAGAAGCAATTGTCCTCAAGAAAGAGCTAGCCGAAGGTTTCGATTTCCACCTCAAACAACATGGCGCTTTGCTGGCCAAGGGCCGTATTCTTGGAGTTCAGTTCATGGAACTCTTCCGATCAGACTTGTTCTTCACACTGGCCACCCACGCCAATGAGATGGCCCAGAAGATCTCAACTAACTTCGAGAAGTTGGGTTATAAGTTGGCTGCGGAGACACAGACAAACCAGGTGTTTGTCACCATTCCTCAGCAATTGGTTCGAACCCTGCATGAAAAATTCCGATTCTATGTTTGGGAACAGCTTGATGATGGAAACTCCGTGATTCGGCTTGTGACATCCTGGGCCACGGATGAGATGGAAATTGATAAGTTCAATGCGTGGGTGCAACAGTGGACAGTGGCAACCAACATTTGAAATGACTCGCCGCCCATTGATTGCTGTCCACGGGGATATGTTTTACGGTTCATTACGACTATAGAGACACCCAATATTAATATAATTAGAATAAGATATCAAGATTCTTCAAACTCATATCAAAATTCTTCATAGATCCAAGTCAGCTGATCGCGCTAACCATATTCGGATACTAAAGATATCCGCGTAACTCTTGCTCCCTCAGACGTGTATCCAACTGTTTAATTTAATCAACGTAAACGGTTGAATTGGTGCAATTGCGCTCCTACGTTGATCCGATGGCTTGCTTGAGATTGTTTTAATATGCCCCACGATACTTGACAGCCACTCCTTTTTTACCACGGCCCACTCCGCCCTTCCCCGTATGTACGCTCGATGAGGCTGTCAATATCGTGTGATGCTTGCCGGTAGGTTTTTATCGGAACTCTTAGATGTATCATTTCATCTGATCTTTTATACAGGCAAGCAAAGGTCAAATGCGTCCATGAAGGGCAACCGCCCTGTCAACGTTGCTTGAAGACCAAGAACCAAGGATGTAATTTGACAGATCCCCGCGCCTCAAGACAGAGGAAACGGAGGAATACTGTCTCATCTAAGGCCCCAAGAAAAAGGAAGGCATCATCCGCCTTATCGCCAGTGGTTGGAGGTGCAGAAAGAGGCACCCCTGAGAATGTCCCCGTGGCTCAAGACCTATCCAAGGATCCAATAGCAGTTCTATCGCCGGCAACCGTCATCAGCGCAGTGGAAACCTACAGAAAAAAGTTTCCAATCACTAATTTTCTTCATTACCCCTCTTTAATCTCCGACATATCATCCAACGTCCACTCAGTGGATTCGGTCTTTGTGGCCTCGGTCCTTTCCTTATGCGTGCGGTTTATGAACAGCGATGAACTTGAAGAAGAGGAAATATATGCGGACTATGCACGCAAAAATCTTGCCCAGCGCGTGCTTGAGGCTCCATCGCTTTATCTTGCCCAGTCCCTCGTGATGCTCTCATTTTATGAGTGGGGTACTGAGCGACCATATCAAGCCTGGATGTATAGTGGTATGTATCCAATCTTCAACTGATTGTAGGGCACTAGCTGACAGGCATCAGGCATGGCGACCTACATGATTCAATCCCTTCTGAAAATGGCAGATGATAGCATGGAACACAATCCTCAAGAATTTCATGCATCCCAAACACAATACGAACAGCTGGTCCGGACCTACTGGTGCTGCTTTGCGCAAGACTGCGAGCTGAGCTCAGGAGCCCGTCAGCACTTCGCACTATCATTCTCCCAGATCTCAGTTCCTCTCCCCATCAGTGATCGGGACTTCACATTTAATCATACACCAGCCAACAGATTGATGCCCGCCGATATGAATAAAGACTGTTTGCTAGCGAAGGATCTCACGATTGAGCATGGCCTCACAATCGTCACTCGAGGATTTGACATATTCGTACGAATCCTAAGATTTGCGAACGAACATCGACGATCACTGGCTTCTTTGTCTTCGAACGACTCGGCTTCCCCGCTCCTCTTGACATGGCAGGCTCTTAAGGAGGAACTGGATGAGTGGAGATCTTTGCAGGATGTAACAGTCCGGTTTCCAGCTACCAGCGTTCAGTCGCACGTGGCACTCGGGTACGGGGAGCTGTTTGCGTACATCAATCTGGTCCATTGCATGAGGTATTTATCTTCATTCAACGTGTTCCAAGCAACAATACTAATTCCATTTCCTTCAGCATCCTTTTCCTCCATCGGGACCGCTTCTTATCCAACCTCAAGCCCCATTCCGATGTTTTCCACGACACAAATGATGACGCGCAAGGCGAGCCCGATACAATCAAACAGCTATTTGAGGTCGCTCAGCAGATCGGGAGTATCCTAAGTGCACTAGATGCCTCCGGTGCACCCGTCATATCACCGTATTCCGGCTTCAGCGTCTTTGTCGCTGCTCATATCAACATGTATGGCACAATTGCCCCACAGCGATATCCGGGCGGCCTCAAACGAGCCGAGGAAGAAAAGACCCGAAATCTTGTCTACCTCGAGCGACTAAGCAAACTTTGGCCCGTCGGTCGTAGCTGGGTGAGTAATTCCAACCCATTTTTCAACCAAATATCGCAACTAACAAACCAAGTGGCGCACGGTCCAAGAAGCAAATCGATTCTACGAGATAGTCAAGAGTAACCAAGCCCCCTCCGAGTCTGGGATGCACAGTCCCAGGAGATTCGCCCTTGCAGGTACCCTGGATGAATATGGTGATATTCGATCTCGTCCGAGTAGAGATGCGTATGCGACTAGGGCACGAACATCTGAATCCCATGACACACACAGCTCTCATGTTCGTGGAGGAACTTCGTCGTCGCCTGGTCTTGGTGGCGAAACGAACTTTCTTGCAAGAGATAATGCTGCGCTTGGTAGTCATCATGATTTTGAAACTGATATGTTTCAATGGCCATTCATTGATGGATCGTGGTCCCTTGGGTTTGATGCGGGATTGGATGGGTTGTGGTCTAACTCGGGGTTGGTTGACCCAAATCCGTCTCTTAGGTGATGGTGTTCTTTATTTTTCTTTGAGATAGATATGTCGCTGGGGCATTGCTTTATAGGCTCAAAAAGAAGAAGAAAAACCATGTCGTCGGTCGAGATTCTACATATCCTTGCCGTATATATATAATATATCTCCATGATTTGTTCACCATTTACATTTCGAAATTTACCCGAGGGTATAGAGAAACAAGTATATTTTATTCAATAAATATTTGATTAAATTCCAATTCATTTTAACAAAGGGGTATGATAGCTATAACGTATTTCACTACCGAGCTGGCCACCCCCCAAACACATAGTAAATGCGATAAATTACAACTTGATATCTCAACAACGGCCGTTTATTTAACGATTTCCCTATAGATGAATGCTTTTTAGGTAATTTCTAGCTTCTCTAGCGAGTTTGGGAAATATATATGACTTTGTGATTGTATTATGTATATTTCTGGCTTTTAGCACCGTAATTTTCAATACCGTAATGATGCACCCCTTCGATGTTCTTAAGATTGCTATATAGTATTTAAAATTCTTATCAATAGCTATCGATAGGCAATGAAATCAAATAAAAACGTGGTTGTTGAGATACCAAGTTACAATTAATCACATTTACTATGTGTTTGGGGGGTGGCCAGCTCGGTAGTGAAATACGTTATAAAGTTGTTATTTGGATATTGTACATAGATGGGTTGTGCGTGGATGTATACTTTGGCTGCAATCAGTCATCGAGTCAAGATAGGCCGGTACTTCCATCAACCAGCCAAGTGGTCGAGCAGTAACTCGACTATCGCATCTTCCTTGGTCTAGTGGTGATGATTTCCGCTTGTCATTAAAACCGATAAGCGCGGGAGACCGGGGTTCGATTCCCCGAGGGAGAGATTTCTTTTTTGCCCTTTTGAATTTTTTTGCTATTTCTATCCACACATTTCCCAGCCAAAGAAATGATAGACAACCATCTAGGTGGGAGACAATATCTGAGACTGGCGTTGATTCTACAGGGGGCAGTATCTCCCTGGCTTACTAGGTATCTACATTTCTGTTAGGGGGAAAAACACTCCGCATCAAATGATTTCATAGATAACTTTCTAAACATTCAGGTGAAATGAAATCTGCCTTGCCATTTTATTAAGATGCCCAGCAATGCCAGTACAGTTGCGTTCAGACGGGCTCCTGATAAGAACCAGCATTATATGGATTAAGTCGCGCTCCATGCGAATAAACACATCCGCGAACTTGAAATGACCATCAGGTCCAAGGGACCAAAAGGCAGTATTACGACGAAGAATCTCGCTATCGGGAGCCCTATCAACCATATCAATTGCAATGCATATGATCTGACTCATGCGATTAGACAGGTTTCCTACTGCCCGAGCGACTTCGCTGATGCGCTTCTCTCCTCGACCGTCTGGATCGCACCGTATGATATGGACCTGGGCGTCCAAGTCGGTTTTGAAGGTGCGGCATTCGTGCAGGAACTTGTCTTGCAAGGGTGGGAATACTGGAGGCATGATGTTGGCGAGTAGTGTGACTTGACTGATTGATAGATTTGAATAGGTGGGGGAAGTAGAGTATTTATATTGATATGGTAGCCTGATGAAGAGGTGATCGAACAAAGAAGACCAGGGGGGTCATGAGTTCATTGTTTCAGGTTTTGATTCACGGGGAATACAAAGGGCATGCAAGCCAACACAGACCTAGTATTGTCTGTCTTTTAAGGTTAGTTGATAGGATAAAGACGATCAAACTACCTGGACACACACCAACTCTGCAAGTGGCAATGTATGTGGGCCTAGAAAAGTATATGCATGTAAAAAAGGAAGGGAAGAAAGAGACAGAAAGAAAATTCATTAGGGTATTAATGAGTGGGTATATATAAATTGAGAAATTCAATGAGAACATCTCTCGTTAATGTGTCTCCACAGTCTGTGACACAGCCACCGTTTTCCTGATGCCATCCTGATTGTGGATAGATTCCGCAGAGTCGCCAGCCTCTGGGGGACCGGCGAATGAAATTAGATGGCTCTGGTCACCGAAGTTCGTCACTTTGTCCCAGTCAGGAGCAACATTGGAAGCCGGGGCTGATTTCCTATCACTCAGCGGATGGGACGAGCCGTTCTGGTAGTATTTCTGCGACGAGTGGTTCTTCTTGTAATGGGCCAACATGACGTTGAGGACAGGTAGACAGGCACAGATCAATCCAACACCTGCCTCGGCATTGCTACTAGAAGTCAGACAAAAGGAAAAGAGGTCAAGGGGAAGAAGTTCATGACATACCCTGATAAGATGACACGAACGAACATGAGGCCCTCATCACCTGAACCTTTCAATACCAGGATCAATCGGTAAAGACTGAACCCAGTGGCCAGTCCACCAGCGCTAAGCAGGCCTATCACGCGCAGCTTTTTATTGCGCGACATTTGTAAAGACCATGTCAATGGCATTGGGAGAATAAGGATGATGAGGTCACTGACGACACTAATCACTGAGTCGGCGATGAGGGCGGCGGTTTGGTTCAGGCAGCTTCCCGGAACCTGGTCACCGAGCCAGTACCTGGGGATGGGGGCGCAAATGCGAATCTTAACGATCAGGGCGACGGTGTAGTAGCAGCATAGGCAGCCGAGGAAGATATAGATGAACCAGACTTTGCCGCGGAAGGGAGCGAAGATTCGGGTGAGAATTGCTAGGAGGGCGACTTTGACGAAGAGGGCCATCGGGCAGTAGAGAATGGTCGCAATGTAGCAGAATTTTTTGAATGCGATTTGATCTTTAGTGTCGAGTTCGGCAATTGGGTATCCTCCGCCATGTTGACCGACTAGTAGAGTAAGTATGTAGTTGTTAACATGTGGGAACTATAGCACCTACTGACAATAGATATCGCACAATATCCTATAAACAGCAACTGGGTAAAGTCAGTTTTGGCTAATAAGGCATGTAAGGCATCAGTCGTTTGGCTCAACATACCCAAGCAATCGTACAGGCAACTAGAGAATAGTTAGCAATATCCTCGAAAAGAGTACGTATCCAAGGGAACAACTTACGATCTTCAACCCCTAGGGATTGCTTAAATCGAAACCGGGTATAGAATCGTAATGCCACGAAGACAGTCACAATTGGAATACAGATAGCTTGTGTCACGAGATTGATAGTATACAAGACATCTGTTCCGTTCTTGATAGTCATGATGATAGGCGTTAAGTTGAAGTTCCCCCCCTACAATGTAAAGTAGCGGGGACTTGACATGATAAAGAACTACACATCGTGAAAATGAGGATAGACAACAAGACGATCTTTAGCGGGGACTTGGAGGCTATTGAACCACTACTAGGTAATAATGATGCGGGATCCATGACGGACATGATTGCTCAAGGGGCTGCGGTAGACTCCACCACCGGACTTTTTTTCAATTTTGAATGGCTCTTGGGGGATTTCTATGATCCATGAATAACACTAGACGACGCTAGACTCGGTTTACACCCCACTAGTATGCACGAGCGTCGTAGGTGCCTACCAGCCGGGCAAATAGTATCGATTCTAGTGCCTCGTATTAGTCCGGTCCAAAATTTGCACCGGGTTGCCACCAACACCGTTGTTTTACCAAACAGATAAATGGGCCTTAGTTGAACCCTATATTGGCTAGCCGAGGCACTATGACAGCTTTGATAGTAACAAAGTCTTTAATTAATGATCGACATTGGGCGAAAAAGGAGTTGTGTGTGTTTTTTTTACTTTCCTTCTTTTTCTCTTTCTATAATTCCCTCGGTCCCCAATAATCCATTACATACGGAGTACAACATAGTAAACCGGCATAGAATCAAAAAAAGAAGAAAGAAAAAAACATGACCGTGCACAACTTGAACGGCAAAGATTCCGGTCTTTTCAAACCCCTGACTATTTCCAATGGCAACATTACCCTTGAACATCGTGTCGTCCATGCACCTCTGACCCGCAACCGCGGCGAACCATTGAATCCTTCCAGCACCCCGGATCACCCAAATCGTATTTGGATACCTGGAGATGCGGTTGTGGAGTATTATTCCCAGCGTGCGACCAAAGGTGGTTTGATAATCTCTGAAGGGATTCCACCATCACTCGAGGTAAGCATCAACCCCAGTTTGGTGGCACACGGTCCCCTCTTTAGGGCAACAGATTATGTTATTTCCTCGGGGTGGCACGCTTAATGACAATTATTCAAACTTTAATTATTCAATTCCTTTTTTTAACTTCGTCTTGACAGAGCAATGGCATGCCCGGAGTACCCGGTCTGTTCAACGCCGAACAAGCCGCGGGCTGGAAACGGGTTGTGAACGCCGTTCATGCAAAAGGAGGCGTTATCTTCTGCCAGCTGTGGCACGCCGGCCGTGCTACGATCCCTCAGATGACTGGATCACCCGCGGTCTGCCCGTCGGCCTCTGTGTGGGATTCGGCGACGGAGTGTTACTCGCATCCGCCCGTCGGCTCCACCAAGCCCGTGCCCTACGCCAATCACCCGCCCATCGAAATGACAGTGGAGCACATCAAGCAAACTATCGACGATTATTGCATTGCCGCTAAGACTGCTATGGATATTGGCTTCGATGGCGTGGAGATCCATAGCGGAAATGGTTACCTGCCGGAGCAATTTTTGAGCTCCAACATCAACAAGCGTGAGGATGCTTATGGCGGTACCCCAGAGAAGCGCTGCCAGTTTGTGTTTGAATTGATGGAGCAGGTGGCCAAGACCATTGGTGAGCAGAATCTGGCTATTAGATTGTCGCCGTTTGGTATGTTCAATCAAGCGCGCGGAGAACAGCGTATTGAGACTTGGACTCACCTCTGTGAGGGTCTGAAGAAGACTCTCCCGTCGCTGTCGTATGTTAGCTTTATTGAGCCGGTATGTTTTCGTTCGTCTCTATCTAATGACAGACTGTGCTAACCTGCCCAGCGTTATGAGCAAATCTTCGGCGCAGAAGAGAAGGATAAGTTCCTCGAGAGCTGGGGTCTGCTGGATGTGACCCTTGATCGCTTCCGCCAAATCTTTGGCGCCACCCCGTTCTTTTCCGCTGGTGGATGGGATGATCAAAACTCCTGGGGAGTAGTGGAATCGGGTAAATACGATGCTCTGTTGTATGGTCGATACTTTACCAGCAACCCGGATCTAGTGCACAGACTGAAGGAAAATCTCCCCATGGCTCCATATGACCGAACTCGGTTCTATGGACCATTTGAGGACAACACCTTCCATTATACTGATTACCCTACTGTGGGTCAGAATTAGGTAATTCCATAGAGTGTACGGAGTACTCCGTACTCCGTATAGCATTAGATATTAGATATATTATTACATAGATGCATGTCAAACCTGGATATTTTTAAGCATAAAAGCAACCTTGGAAAGGTCAGAGTCCAGACCACGGCAGACTATAAGTGAACCATGGTTGACACGGGAATTTCCGGCAACAACCTTGGAACATTGGAGCCTCGGAATAATAAAACATATGCATGACACATCTCTACTACCTAGGTACAACTCGGCAATGTCGGCCATATTGGACCTCGGGGTTTAGTTTCAAAAAAAAAGGCTACCCTCGGGGATCAGCGGAAATAATGCCGTTATTGAGATCGTCCGAACCCACCCCACCGAGGAGAGTCGCAAAAATCGAACAGTACCTATCCATTCCCTATGTCACCCAAAGTAGAAAACAATAACACAATAATCTCTCATTTGGTGTCGATAGAGTATCAGTTGATATCATATTGCTTAAATCAAAATATCAACGAGCTCCAAACCCACCAGATTTGCCTAGATGTCTCGGGGCCCTGGCGGGGACCGCACCGGGAAAGATTATCCACTTTACCCGCGTGGCTTTATGGAGAGAATTAGGTTGTATTCGCGCACGGAAAGGGGCGGCACAGAAACGAACGGCATAAAAAGGGACGCCACAGAAAGGAAGAAGGTTGGAAACGAAAACTATCTCTCCAGGCCCTTTCATTTACCTCCCTTGTGCCGCTAGCCGATACCAATTGGCAATAGCCGTCGCTCAGGCTATGGCATGTACGAACACGGATACGAGTGTACCTTACTTGGAACCTGTTGATCATATTTCTAGGACTACATAGTATCTTCATTTGTTACCGATAAGAGAAACCCGTGGGCCGGACACATGTGAAAAAGCCAAAGAAATAAGCGCGCTGTTGGCCCATGCGAGATCGAGAGAAGAAGTGCTAAACAAATACTAGGTCAAAATGAGGTTAGTTGTTTAGATTAAGGGCAAAGGGCACGAGTTGACCTTTTCGATGTTAGGTTGACGGAAACCATAACAAGGTGATTGAAGTCCATGCCTGGGGGTATGTAGTTGTTATGGTGATTTGCTTTCGTATTCCAAGTCACACTTCTTGTTTTAGTTTACGTGGCACAGATATGGCGTTGAATGAATATCCCCATCTATTTAGGTCAATCGCAAATAACACTCACAGGCCACTCAATCCATTGGTGGAATTCAAGTCCTAGAGACTGTCGAATTCCTGCGATAACATGTCGATCCCAAGCGATCATAAGCCACGAGGATCTCATGAACTTTAAAAGAATACACCAATAAGCAAGAATAATCAATGAAAATGGCTCTTTCTCCTCAAGGAGACCAATGAAATCCTCAGGCCGCCTGTATATCCATCCAACGAGAAAGGGCATCAAGTTAACACTATCCTTCTCAGTGCTTCGAGACTGGTATGCTTCCTCAAACATTTCGAGCAAGTTTTCAATTGCATCGATATAGATCTGAGACGTAGAATTTCCGCCAGTTTGCGTTTCGATAAAATGTTGAAGTGCTTTGATATGAGACTGATGTTTTCGAAGCTCATCTTGTAACAAGGGGCTGACGCCCTGAATAGCAGGATCAGTTTGAACCTGCAAGACCCCGGTAAAGATTCTGTCATGGCTGGACATCAAAATCGATTTCACTCCCCTCATAAGAACCAGCCACTCCGCCTTCCCCGTCTCACTGAACACAAGGTATTCACCAGGTTTTGGACCGTGTGCGAAATAGACAAAGCATACTAGCGCTGTCGACATGTAGATAGACTGGCAGTTCTCCGAGTTAAGACTCGATAGAATAGCCGACACAGATCGAATGCCAAACGTGAAGTGGCTATCTGCCTGCATCACATACTGGTCTCGTGCCTCGGGGTGGAGATGGCCAAGATGTAGGGCTGCTAGCGCCAATATGAGGTGGAAGATGGACGGCGAGGAGAATCCCCATTGTGGAAGGTGAGTTCGCCAAACTCGATTGTGATCGGTTGCTTCGTCTGTTAGGGTGCAGTATGTCTCTGTAACAAAGTGGTGGAAGAGTCGTAGGTCGGCGAATGAGATGGTATCCTGAGTCTGTGGTAGGACGCTGGAGTTGGAGCTTTTAAATGGGACTTCCGTGGAGACTGTCTGCGAGGATGGCTGGCCTGTTTCATCATTGGGCTTGTCATTTGCAGATTGGTATTTAGAAGGCTTGAATCGAAATTGTGCATTCAAAGGTTTGTATGGGGATGGTGCTGCAGAGGATGAAGCTGATGATTCAGCTATTGTCGAGAGGAAGTCGCACTCAACAGCATGAAGGATGCATTTGGAGCATGCAGGCTTAGTTTCATCACACTGTAGACTATTAGTGGCTTATCATCCAAAACTTCCACACTCTCTATCCAGTCTAGTCGCCATCCCAAACAAATCAATGACTGGAGAGTATTCTCTGCGCTCCCTCATATCCATCTCTTTCATGAGGATAGCAGAAACCATTTGGAAAGTACTCACTTTTATTCGCCGTCTTTTACAATTTCCACACCCCGAACGTGATTTATGATGAGACTTCCGGGATCGGATCGCGTTCCGTGTGTTTTCCATGATGATTATGTTGTGCCTCGGGTCTGTAGAGCATCGTATTCGTTTTAATTTTGCCGTTTCAGTCCCATGCGTACTACGCGATGACGTAATACAGACTTAGAAAGTACAACACGTGACCATGGAGTATAGTTATGTATGTTGTAGGTACTTTTAACTACACCAAAAATGAAGATGTAAAAAGTAAACATAAGGAGTTGGTGATATTGAGGTAAATGGAAGAAGAAATGGTTGATAAGTAGCCAAATTATTTCAAGCGCTACGTCTTTTCTCACATCCACGAACGCAGGCCTAACGCTCAACCGCTTCAGCCAAGACCTTGAACTCATTGACAATGATTTGCCCACTTCGTTGAATCAAACAATCTTCCAACTACTGAGTACCATCATTTCGGCGGTCATCTTATTCATCAGCTCTGGCTACGTCGCCATCGCGGCCATCCAGCTGTTTTACCTGCGCACATCCCGACAGCTGCGAATACTCGATATTGAAGCCAAGGCGCTTCTCTTCTCCCAGTTCTTGAAAACCCTGGGTGGTATATCCTTTATACGGGCCTTTGGCTGAACAAGCCACTATGTCGAATCTGTCCACGACTCCCTCAACGTGTCACAAAAGCCATGCTATCTGATGTGGTGTGTCCAGCGATGGCTGGGAATGGCACTGGACCTATTTGTCGCTGGAATCGCCATTATTCTCGTTGCCTTTGCGACAAGTATCAGAGGCAGTGGCTCAACTGGCTATCTCGGCGTAGCCCTGTATCAAATCGTGACATTAAGTACCACGCTACAGACGCTCGTTACCGAGTGGACGCAGATTGAAATGGCCCTTGGAGCTATCAGTCATGTCCGTACCTATATTCTCGACACAAAAGACGAGAACCTACCTAATGAGACCGGACATGTCAGCGACAAATGGCCCGCAAAGGGCGCCATTGTATTCAACGGTGTCTCTGCATCCTATGACACTTCCACGGACCCAGTACTCAAGGACATCAACCTTTCCATAACACCTGGTGAAAAGGTAGCCATCTGTGGTCGCACAGGTAGCGGCAAGTATTCCCTGGTATCAGCTCTCCTCTGCATGCTGGAGCTTCAATCAGTATCGATTTGCGTCGACGACATCGACATCAGCACCATCGCTCGCCAGGCCTCATGCTCGCTTCAACTCCCTTCCCCAAGACCCGTTCTTCCTACAAGGCACTGTCCGCGAGAACCTTGATCTTCTCGGGGTCACCACCAACGAGCACTTGGTTCAGGCACTTCAGTCTGTGCGCCTATGGGACTTCTGCGAGTCCTGCGGCGGCCTGGATGAGGATATGAACGAAGGGACCTTGTCGCATGGACAGAGGTAGTTTTATGTCTTGTTCGATCAGTGATCAATCCAAGCAGCGTCCTCGTTATGGAGGAGGTGGGTGGCAGCGTTGACGCGGATACGGACGCTTTGATACATGAGATTCTGCAGAAAGAATTTGAGTCGTGCACTGTCATTGCTATTGTTTACAAGATACACACATGATCGCTTCGTGGTGCTAGACAAAGGGCATACCGTTGAGGAGGGCCCACCGCGTGAGCTGCTTGAACGGCCAGGATCACTGTTCAAGGCGCTATATGACAGCATGCAGACAGAGGAGAGGTAATTTGGTATCTCTTGCTCCAGTAAGGGCTTAAATTCTGGTAATAGTAGATGAGTATCTATTTTTCGTTAGAATATAGTCTTCTTATTAGGCATGGGACATAAAATTGCGTGTAGGAATTGTATATAGTCCTACAACTTGGAAGTGGCTGTGATATATGTTAACTAGCTTCAACAATATTTTAAAAAGGTGCTTTGGTAAACTACCTAGTCTATTTCTGGCTTTAGAAGAATGACAGCTTTAGAACAGAATGATCACCTCGATCGGAATGCTACCAGTAAAATCCACTATGCTAGGTCTAGTATCAACTGGTGTATAAAATGCGAAAGTGCGATCTTAAGTCCTATCCCGGCCTATATTATTGCTGTACTATATCTAGTATCCTTCAGTTATCTAGCTCCTTTAAAGAGGACATCCGAACAGATCCAGTACCTTTCTTATGGCTTTATAGATATTTCTACACGAATTCAATGGCCAAACAGGCAGCAGTCGGATTAAAGTCCCACCGCCCCAGTTACGCAATCCGAAGGGGGCTGACAGCCTGATCCTCTGGCCCCAACGTCGAGAGCTACTTGGCACTGGCATGCACACTAAGCTTTGCAGCTGACCAAGCGTGCTACAATCCGGCCCCCATTCTCATGCCAGGTGGCATCTGTCATTTCAAGGTTTGAACTGGGGTATTTTACTGCAAAGAAACTACCTGGAAGCTACATGAATAGGCCTGTACAATGGCATTTCATAACGCACACCGGTAATTCGTCAAATCAGCAATATGGATCTTTTTCACTCGGCAGGGTTTGCGTCAGATGTGACGGAGTTGATGAAGCAGCAGCATGTCCCGGGGCTGGCGATTGCAATCATTCACAATGATCAAATTGTCTCTGCGGGATATGGACATGCGAGCCTGGATCCCGAAATACCTTGCACAGCAGATACGCTGTTTGACATTGCATCGTCTGCTAAATCAATCACTGCTGCGGCGGTGGGATTGCTAGTCGACGATAATGACATGTTCCCGGATATTCAGTACGATGCCGTGATGTCGACTCTTCTCCCCGAGGACTTTGTTATGTCTGGAGAAGGATACACAGAAGGAGTCACCGTGGAAGACATCTTAAGTCATAGAAGTGGAATGCCTAGGTGAGTTAACATTTTTCAAATTCCATGTTAGAGTTCAAGACTAATGATATTGCGCCAGCCATAACGATTCGTATATGAGTGTGCGAGCGGCGAAGCCAGACAATGCTCGGTCCATTACGAGAAACCTCAGGAATCTCCCTATCGCTGCTCCCATTCGATCAAGGTATATTTACTGTAACATGATGTATACAGTGGCAACCCATCTTGTGGAAGTGAAGAGCGGACAGGATTTTGGTACATTCCTCGAAGAGCGATTTTTCAAGCCTCTGGACATGGCATCAACTACTCTTCAACCCAGCAGCGCACGATCAAAAGGATTTGAATCCCGCATGGCAACTGGCTACACATGGAAAAGAGCCGACTCAACATATCGTGGGTTAGAAAATCCAGACTGCCCAGAAGGCCAAGGCGCAGGGTCTATCATTTCGAGCGTGAACGACTTCATCAAATTTGTCAAGGCTTTTATCAATCGCGAAGACCCTATCAATAAAAATGTTTATGAAGGGCTCACTCGCCTGCGAACTTTTGTGAATCCAAACCCAGGAAGACGGAAGCGGTACACCTCACCGATAGCATATGCTGCTGGCCTGGATATCTACTTTTACAAGGGACATATGGTTGTCGGCCATAATGGGGTATTCTCTGGATTCGGAAGTCGCTTCTTCTTTCTCCCTGATTTCTCATTCGGTGCTGTGATCATGGGAAACTCAGATGGGGCAAATGGCGTTGCGACGACCCTTGTCCAAAAGCTAATTGACAATCTCCATGGAGTCACGGACGAAAGACCTCATGACAGCAAAAGCAAAGCCACACGACCTGTTGAAATTCGCGGTCCAAAACCCCAGGCCGAAGCGAAAGATGCAAATCCAATGAGTCAGAACCAGGAAAAGAAGGAGAAGAAAAAGCATGAAAAGAAAGCCCAAGCGAAGAAAAGTCAAGATATCCAGAAGGGCCAAGTGAATGAGCAAAGACCGAAAGGGAATAATACTCCGCAGCCACCGACAATGCCTCTCAGTGCTTACGCTGGTAACTACTGGAATCCTGGGTATCATAACTTACTGGTTCAAATCGGAGATGATGCGCTCTTCATCGATGCTACAGATCGCTCAATGGGGTTTACCTTGAAATTCGAACATGTGTCCGATGACCGAAAATTCGATGCTCATCTTACTGATTGGCTTGATGGCAGTGATGACATCGTAAAAGCGGAGTTTGTAATAAAAGATGCTCAAGTCACAAGGTTGGGTCTGCAGTTGGAGGAAATGCTCAAGGAAATGATCTGGTTTGAGAGGAAGGATGAAGTTATTTCTTGACAGTATTCCCCCTGATAGAGCTGGATAAATTTACAAGAGGATATGTTGCAAAGAGAATGAGAAAACTAAAATGACAAATATTTGACCAATTGGCCTGTGTTCAAACTCTCCGAAGTAGTCGTTCAGCTTGAAGTTATGATGTGGTATGTAGTGGCGCATAGATAACTTGGGGATGGATCTTTCCAATAATGATTCATGAGCTCGAAGAGATCAGGTAACATTTGAATCTATAGTACCAGTAGATCCGTAGGAATTTGACAATCAGCTATGAGGAATCAACATATTCTTTTTGAATCTAATTTTCAATCACCTGCGTATTGCATCTAGCATCAATAACTGAAAGACATTGACCAATGTCTGCCAGTGAACTTTAGAGTCAAGGAAGAGTAGTGAATTATGAACGTCTCAGCCATAGCAGAGATGGTAAGAGATCAACTTATAGGAACAGTTATGAGAATAGAATGAGACACGAGATAATATTCCATGTTTTGGCCTTCTGTCTGCTACTTGGCGTTCTCTTTTGTCTAGATGGGCTCTCTTGAGAGACCATGAGCCCTCTGTAGTTCTATTTTGAATCTTCTTTTTCTCCATTACCATGTTCTATTTTAAAGTCAATCTAGTAGTGCTTCCGCTTCTTCTGCTTTTTTACGTACATTCTTTTGCCTCTCTTAAAACACAGAGCCCTTCTGTCTCTCAATATTAATAGCATCAGTGAGCATCCTGCAACTAATTCCCAAATTAGTTTTTATTAAGGTTCGTATCCTTCAATACTTACAGCCAGCTGAGGTCTGCACATACTAACTAAGGTGGCTATTTCGTGGAGATCCTTTTTATAATTGCTTTTTTGCTCTTCGGAGATAATTCCCTCAGCCCCTTGCAACAATCCACCCTTTTTTTAAACATATCACCCTGTTTATGTACTTTTTCCTCCCTTGGCGATACTATATTTTCTTTTTTTAAATAGCCCATTTTTTGCTTTTTCTGTAGAACATTTGGTGATTATTCCACGACTCTCACGTATACTACTTTATGAAAAAGACGAACTAATAGGCAATTCTTGCTATAGAATACGGAGTACTTGGCTGTAATACTTTCCTACTGCTGCGCTTCACATGCGAAGTCTACTTGAATATCGTATTTGCACGCAATATTGCCACCGTAGATGCATCGAGCCTGACTAGTGAATGATCACCACCTATTATCGTGGTTTGTACGGAGTGGAGTAGTTGACTTCGTAACCTAACTTCCTCATTTAGCTATAGACACGACCTGTAGAACTTAATCTCACAAACCCTCTAGGGCTTCTAATTGATAATATTATCATTCTCTGAGAGTTTTAACTTCAAAATGCACTTATTGTGTTGCCCCGAAATGTTGTGTTGAGATCTTGCTACCTATGGAGAAATAGAGAAACCTTAAGAAGCTTCTCCTTGTCTTCCCTATGTGTCCCCGTGTCTCACCGTGGAGTTGAGAGCATCCCGAAAACGCCGAGTAGACTATGTAGAATTAAACTTGTAAACAAAGAAAAATGCACATCTTCTCTATTATTCCTTTCTTCAGGAAGCACGTGTCGTTCTGCAGAAGACGAGACAAGACGAGACACGTTATAATATATGACCTGTCTCCCTTGTTCTTCTCAGCCCTGGAGATCTTCTTCTTCTTCTTCTTTTTTTCTTCTGTAATCTTCTTTCACATCGCCTGCAATGGACCTCATTCCAAGTGCCTTTGTGGCACGTCCGTTGAAGATTGTGGTTATCGGCGCTGGGTACGTGCATATTGACCTCGGGCGACAATCGCTTCTAACAGGTTGTCCTAGTATCTCGGGAATCCAATTTGCGCATGACGCGACCACGTCATTATCAGGTATCGATCTTGAAATCTACGACAGAAATCCTTCCCTAGGGGGTACATGGTATGAAAATCGGTATCCCGGGTATGTACAACTGTATTCCCGCAAGCGTTGCCATCAGATGAATGAGCTCACTAATGCTGGGCGATAGATGCACATGCGATGTGCCTTCCCATACCTACCAATTTCATTGGGCGCCTAATCCATCATGGTCGTCACTTTATCCTCCAGCTCCCGAGATTCACAAATATCTGGAGGATGTGGCCGACAGGCACAATCTCCGCCGTTTCATGACCTTCAACACCAAATGCGTCTTGGCGCAATGGAATGAAGACTCATCAAAATGGAAAGTTGTTCTCTGCGATGTTGTCTCCGGTGAAGAAAAGACCGTCCTTGCTGATGTCTTTGTCTATGCTGTCGGGCGGTTGAACAACTACAAGTTCCCCAAGATCGCGGGCCAGAAAACCTTCCGAGGTGTCCAAGTACATACTGCAAACTGGCCAGCAGATATGACTGCCAAGGATAAGCGGGTGATTGTAATTGGAAATGGCGCAAGCGCCATTCAGTGCGTTGCAGCTCTGCAGCCAGGTAAGTCACCAAAGTCACCCCGAAGATACACCACGCTGACCGCGCCGGGCTCTCAAGTTGCTTCGCAAATAACCAATATTGCGCGAGGGCCAACGTGGATTCTCCCACATGCATTGGCGGAAGATGGTACTGTCCAGCGCGAATGTGAGTCTCTCGCCTTGCCACAGAAAGACAGAAGTGCTGATCCGTATCTAGACTCAACTGAGCAGAAGAAAGCTCTCCAGGCTTGCCCTATGCGCTATTATGAATTTTGCATCTCATCAGAGCAGAGACTTGCCGCAACTTTCATGGGTCTCTGGAGAGGGACCAAATCTCAAGCCAATTTTACAGAATTAGCACATTCATTCATGAAGTCCAAGATCACAAACCCCGATCTTTTGGATGCCCTCCTACCAGAATTTGAAGCTGGCTGTCGTCGCTTCACGCCAGGCGGTCACTATCTGGATGCGTTGCAGAAAGCGAATGCCGTGTATGTGCATGACTCAATCAATAAGCTGACCGAGGACAGCCTTATCACTGAATCCGGAGGGGAGTACAAGTGTGACATATTAGTATACGCCACCGGATTTGAGCCATATCAACCACGATTCCCAGTTATTGGCCGCGCTGGACGATCGCTGAGTGAAGACTGGGATCGCGAGGGACCTTGTGAGAGTTATATGGCTGCGATGGTTGCTGAGTTTCCTAACTTTTTTGGTAAGTATCCAAATGCTTTCTGTTGGTTATTGTGCTTAACCGGTCTCTTAAACAGTCTTCAACCCCCCAATCTGCCCCGTGAATGGATCTGCTATCCCGGGCATCGAGAGAGCAAGCGACTATATGATTCGAATCTTATCCCGACTCCAGACAGACAAACTCCGATCTGTATCTGTGACGCAGCGGGCGCAACGTGCATTTAACCAATGGGTTCAGTCAAGAATGCCTCACATGGTCTGGTCAGGACCATGCAAATCATGGTGTAAGTGGCTCCTTACCATCTCCTAGCTTTGCACATTGGCTCATCTATGGTGGTACAGACAAGAACGATAATGGAAAAGTAGTTGTTCCTTGGCCTGGTACTGTCCTTCACTACTATGCGGCAACCGAAATTGTCCGCTGGGAAGACTTCGATTTAGTCTACGAGAATCCCGATGATAAATATGCAAGTTTCGGCAATGGTGTGACGAGCGATGGATTTGTGCCAAATAATTTTCCCTGGGTCCATCCCCCCACTGATTTTCGAAAGCCAGAAGTGAATGTGGAGCCAGCTTCTCAAGTTCTTGCACCACCAAGCAACGTGTTGTATCGTGTGACAAACCAAGTCTTACAGTTGCTGGGGACATGGTCGTATCTTGGTGAACCACCAGTTAAGAGTTGAGGATTGTTGCTGTGCATAGCTAGCTTCCAAGGTTGTAAGAAATCCAATATGTTTTCGGGTTAAGCGATCTATGATGTGTTACCCATATTGTAGAAGTCAGCTTAACAACTAATACCACCCGAGGTCGTGCTACATTTCTGAATAGTATAAGTTACACGGGATGTAATTGTATAACATGCATTTGTTAACTCTATCGTGTAGATCTTGACATCCGATGTTCTGAACCGATCAACGTTAAGGTGGAGATCCCGGTAATTCGGCTAAGTAGATATGCCTAACGCTTGTGGATTTCGGCAGATTCATTTGGATTATTAATGAGCTATTTTGACGATTCTGACTCATTTAGTCTACAACAAGTTAAGAAGTTCAAGAAATCTTGTTTCTGTTTGTTTCCTTCCAGTTTCCATAAATAATTGTGCTTTGATAGGTGAGTTCCCCTCTAATGCTCTAGAGCTTGCCTTGGAATTTGACGTCATATTCAATGTGAATCAACAAGGTCAATACATAAATTATTGTAACTAATACTTTTAGCGCTGTTAGACCTCACATAAATAAATCAGCAGATTTCACAATGGCCGATAATAAGATGGAATATGTCCGGTACAGAACCCCCACAGCACCCATCCCACTCGAATGAGATGCTGAGACCAAATAAATAACAGCCTTGGCAACTCGGGCCTAAAGATCTCCAAGATCATCCTTGGAACAATGGGCTATGGCAGTAAGCAATGGCAAGATTGGGTCCTGGACGAGGAAGACTCCCTGCCTCTGATTGAACATGCCTATAAGCAGGGCATCAACACCTGGGACACGGTAAATGAAGACCTCGCTAGAAAATCACTGAATAATCTACTAATGTTTCCAACTATACAGGCGGATGTCTACTCCCACGGCAGATCCGAAGAAATTGTCGGAAAAGCCCTGAAGAAGTACAACATCCCTCGCAACCGCGTGGTAATCCTAACCAAGTGTTTCTTCGGCGTTGACGACGAGGGCAAATTCCCACCCATCGCCGCATCTGCCACAAACGACGGTCCCTTCGTTAACCGCACCGGCCTGTCGCGCAAGCACATCTTCGATGCCGTTGATGCTAGCGTGGAACGTCTGGGCACATATATCGATGTGCTGCAGATTCACCGTCTAGACCGAGATACCCCGCGCGAGGAGATCATGAAGGCGCTGAACGATGTTGTCGAGAGCGGGAAGGTTCGGTACATTGGTGCCAGTTCGGTATGTCCATCGTGACTCCCATTCCTACCTATTTCCATTTCTTTCCATTTCCTTTTCCCAACATCCAAGACCTCCACACTAACCCACAACCAGATGGCCGCCTGGGAATTCCAATCCCTTCAAAACATCGCCGAGCGCAACGGCTGGCACAAATTCATCTGCATGCAGAATTTCCACAACCTCCTCTTCCGCGAAGAAGAGCGCGAGATGATCCCCTACTGCCAAGACGCCGGCGTCGGCATTATCCCCTGGTCACCGATTGCGCGTGGCGCTCTGGCGCGGCCCTGGGGCTCGCGCGAGACGGTTCGCGAGAACACCGACGGCGTGATTAAGATGTTTGTCCGTAGTCGCGAGTCCGAGGCTGATAAGGCTATTATCGATCGGGTTGAGGAAATCGCTAATAAGAAGGGCGTGAGCATGGCTCAGATTGCTATTGCTTGGTCTTTGACTCACCCGGGCGAGAACCCCATTCTTGGACTGCATAGTGTCAAGAGGATTGATGAGGCTGTTGCTGCTATTAAGGTCCAGCTGTCTCCTGAGGAGATTAAGTATTTGGAGGAGCCGTATGTTCCTAAGGCTGTTACTGCTCTTGAGCGGTAAGGATTCGATGGGGACATCTACCAGGGCTGTATGTAAATTGAACTTTGTATTCTGTCTTTTACGATTAAGTGAGGGGATATCTCACAATAACAGCCCCGAGCTCTCGATGATGAATGGTACCTAGGAGTTTCGCAAAGCACTGCAACATAGACAACTAGTCTGTCATCTACTGAGTAAAACATTATGGTATGCAAGGAGAGGTAGCTACTCCACACACTGAAACTATACATGTCAGATTCAGCTTTGAAAAATATCCTCTATTATAGGTCCTTTGCTTTTTCCGGAAGTATTTCTATTCTCTCCTTCCTAAATATCGGTACAGGTTACCATCCACTCGGTAACCCCGCCAGTCCGTATTTTCGACAAATCACTCTCTACGGAGTACGAAGTACATAGCCCTGCTCATGACCCCGCCACCACCTTGGCAAACACTAGCTGATCTCCATCACATTTACGAATAATAGCAAGGCGGTTATCTCTCATAGTATTGTTACCTTGGTGAACGCCCATTCGATCGAAATCGCAGACAGGGCGTAGATTAGCACCCATCACATGAAAATCCTTTCCTAATATCCTCTAGCGCTTATGACTATGTATGTATTTTGTATACCTACAACAGTGTGGGATTCACCCACCTCCACCCGTATTTTTTTTTAGCTCATACTTAGCGTACTGAAATTAATTAATTAGGGAATTCTAGGCAGATAGATCACTGCGCCACTGGAAGAAGCTAGTGGGGGTATCCCGACGGGGGTACAAACCGTTGTAGATATTCTGAGGTCTCCGGTCTGAGAGGATAGGCTGCCGCAATCAATTGACATGGTCTGCTACAAATTCTAGGCAAACAAAATATATTCATGGTGACTTCATGGCCGTCTCTCTTTGATTTAGAAGTCATGGATTGTGGGTGTGGACTTTGGGAATTGTTGCAGCCTGAAGCTGCGGGGTTGATTTACTAGTTGAGTTGAATGTGCGTAATATATACATGGGTGTTTATCTTTTGGTCCTGCATGACCAACGAGATATTTGGGATTATACCGGGGAGACATGGTAAAATCGGAAAGCTTGTGGAATTGAGTGTGGGTGATGGGGTATTATTCATATGTAGCGTGATGGATAGATGGATAGCAATGTACACGAGTGAGATACAAGCATACACATTTTGAGTTTGAGCCGCCAGGACATGAAGATCAAGATATGGTGAGAAGAAGGTATGAAAAAATAAGACCCGAAGGATGCGCAAATGCAAAGGATGCAGGATGCTAGTTGGAATGAGAGAGAGCAGAGAGTAGAAGAAAGAGGAGATCGGCAAGGACTCGTGCCAGACGAATCGCACTGCAACGTATGAATGCCCAACTTATGCCAGATGGAATGGGACTCGAACGTGGTGCTGTGGTGATGCCTACATGTGGACTAGCCACAAACATGATGCAGGGGTATACATGGTGGTCGGGAATTGAAAGGTCAATGATTATCGTGTTTTCGGTGAAAAATGCCAAAGAGAGTACTGAGGCGGCGGCGAACTTTGCCCTTGTTGGGGGTTGAGTCGACAGCTTCGGGGATTGGAGATTCTGGCTTCTTCTTGCGGGTGCTGTTATGCTGTGTGATGCGGGAATTCGAGGCAGGGGGATCTCGATCTGGCCCCGCTTTTGATTTGACGTTTTCTCTTTCCGGCTGGGCTTTTGCAGGTGATTTCGCTTGAAGTTGACTAGCTCGAGATGAATCTTCCACCTCAGCGGAAGGTTGGCGAGGAGAAGGAGGACGGGATACAACAATATCGCGGCCGTTCTCGCCCGAGGTAGTGAACATGCTGTGTCGGTTCAGGCGAGTGCTCAGCCCAGAAGCGGATCGTCGTTTCGCTCGATCCATGAATGCAGCTCCGGTGGAGTTGGAGCGCCTGGACAAACTACCAAATTGCGCTTTCTCCATGATGGATGGGGTTGTGGAACGGCGAATACTGGAAACCGACATGCAGCGTTTGCCATCTTCATCGCTTTTCGGGAAAGAGTCAGTTTCGTTTTTGGCGCTCGTCGGAGATGTATATTTCACGGATGTTGGAGACATAGTCGACTTGGTACTGGGCGAAGACACTAGGTCGCCGTAGCGGAAGTTGTCTGACCACCCCTCACGGAAGGCGACCCAGATGCCGGTGATGATAATCAAAGTTCGCAGTCCATCATCAAGGGTGACCAAGCTTCCATCGAGGGGGGTTTCTCCATCCGAGGCATCACTCACAACCGACATTCCTGAGTTTGGAGTCGTCGGACCGGTGCCAGACCAAATCGCGGTGGAATATTCGTCATTGATTTCTAACTGATTTCGGGTCATGGACGCGAGAACGGGATGCCGGCGAGTGGTAGGATCGATGACGCTGAAAGTGAAGCGTTTGCCGTCCTCGCGTGATTGTGTCCCTGCGGGTGTAGTCATCCGACGACTCCTCCCACAACGTAAAGCCCACCGCATGATTTGGACGCCGTTATCTGTCTGAGCAACAAACTCGTAAGACCCGCTTGGGAGAGGCGAGGCCTCCCAGACAGGGCCGAAGTTCAGACATATCTCCACCTTTCCTTTCAATCGAGCATCTTCTTCATGCTTTTGACAGATCGTGGCGACTACCTCGCGATGGTCTTCATCCTCATCCTCCGAGCTAACGCGTTTTTCAGGAATGCTGCCCACCGTCCGATCGTATTGTTCGCTCAGCACCACTATTAGGTCGTACGGACCCAATCCATTTCTAGTCCGATATATGGCTGGAAACTTGCGGGCCAATAGTGGTAGGTAAGACGTCGATGGCAGGATATCCACCACTGGTAGGGGCCGAGGGGTTTGTGACACCTGTTGCAGCTGCAGGAGGAGCTTGGGACGAAGTCTCAACCGCTTGTGGCGAGCATGAGCGGCGGGATGGGCGAACTGATATGATGTCTTGGGTCGAGACTTCCGACCTGTGGTTGAACGGGCGGCTCGGGGCCTGGTGACAACAGCTGATTCTTTGGAGGGTTCACCCGAGTCCGAGGCTGACTCAATCGGACTCATCACCATAGCGGATACAAGCCCCGGGCAATCAGTAGAACCATCAGGGAGCCTAAGAGGACTGTAGAAAGAATTCAACAATGGTAGAGCAGACAGTAAGCTAGTAGGCGAGTAGAGAGGACACCCAGAAGGCTGGGATTCTGGTGCATGGGCTGCTGCGGCATCCGCTGTGAGGCCAAGATTCAACAGCATTCTTGAGCCCTAGCGGAGCCACATTGATGTTTAAGACCCGAATCTTTGTGGAATTTCACCCAGACCCGATGTACTAGTCATAAATGGCCCGTATTCAAACGCGTCAGCTGCGGGGGGGAATGTTCAGCCCCCAGAGCTATGTATGGGGAAGCCTAATCACGATTGCAGGAAGGACAAAATGCAAGACAAGATTGTAAAGAATTGCAAGATGTGTAAAAGAAAGAAGATGCAAGGGGGGTTTGAAAGGTTTAAAGAGTGGAAGGGGATGTTTAATTGCAGGAGCAATAAAGGACTTCCTCAAGATGAATGGGGCGGTCAGCCTTATAGAGCTATGTAATTAAAAAAAAGGAAAAAAAAAAAGATGATAAAAAATACCACATACGTAGTAATCAAGAAAGTTTGTTTTTTTCTCGCAGTGGAACCGATTTAGTTGCACCAACTGACCTCAGATGTGTATTTTTAATTGTTTAATTATATAAATTATGTTTAATATATGTATTATGTAGTATATTTAATGCACAAATATTCGGCTTATGCTTGTCAGCGGACTCGGTAGCCTACGGCCTCCGATACATCCGGATTCCGTGGCGATCATTCATCTTTTCTCTACGTCTAAGATCGGGACTTGGGTTTTAGCCTCTACCTTCTTGGCGAGCCCCATCCTATTGGACAGATGGGCAGATTCGCCCGAGGTGTATTACCTTATGAGCCCATATTCTAGTGTGGGAGTATCCATCTATCCTTGGTGTGGGACTATTGTCACGTTCAAAATCTGAATTTTTTTTGGGACCTGAGGGATTTTGTATATACACTCAGTTTAACCTTGGAATCGGATAGATTGATGTGCCGGAGAGACCTCGGAAGTTTAATAAACTAGCGCTTATGCTCACTTCGGCATTTCGGACAAACTTGGTCAAAAGCCTTGGGAAGATTGAAAATCCAAATTGTGATACGAGATACGAAGCGGAGTAGTGCATGGTAGTATAAGGCAAAGTTCTATGTTGTAAGGTTGATTCTCAGAATCTGGGGTGGATCTTCAGAAACCTTTTTTGTTTCACAATATACCTGAAATGTCTACAAATGTAGTGACGTTTTGTGAAAATCCCCCAGAATCGCCACTCTAGTAAAGTATGTAGGTAGTATGGAGTACAAGGACTCTGTACTCCGTACTAGAGTGCATACATCATCAAATGTTGATCCAGACGGCTCCAGGGCTCCAGAGCCGGCGCGTGGATCAGATGACTAATTATGTCCTTTTATGCAGCCGAGCTTTTCACCTCCTTAGAAAGTTACAAGGCTACCTCGGCAGACCGGGTCACAAATCGGGACAATCGCAATATAATCATCCCGACATCTAGACCCTGTCAACCCGATTCCATTAGGTGTCCCGATAGCGGAAACTCCCGAGGTTTCATTCACATCATCATCTTTAGTGGCTGAAGTCACTGGGAACTTCTCATGGCTCCCGTTCAACCTACCACGAGGCCACCGCCATTGTTTGCCAAATTACTACGATTGGACAACCCAATTCGCAGTCTGACTTTAGCCTTTTGGTCATGGAAGGTCTTGGTGTACATCGTCGTTGCCGCCTGTCCAGGATTAGGCTATGATACATCCACCTCCTTGATCTCATATGCTGCCGATCCATCAACAGTTGCCCAGTCCAAGTCTCTTTCGGGGCCCCTCAAATTTGCCAGATGGGACAGTATCTACTACGTAGATATTGCCGAAAAGGGATATCTCTTTGAGCAAGAATGGGCCTTTGGCTGGGGCTACAC